AAAACACAATAAGATGGAAAGAAGGTGACTTTACAATTATTTTGTTTTGTAAACTTGCTAATGGATAATAGGCTAACAGGGAATTTGGGAACATATAACACATCAGTTAGTTTTAAAGAGGAAGTAGGATGAACTACTCCATCACCACGAATTGGAAAAAGAGTACCATCAGCAATGCGGATAGATGGAAACTTATCAGAAAGATGTAAAGATACAAAGTGATCCTTTATACCTGTCATATGAGATGAGGCTCCAGAATCTAGTACCCAGGGTTTGTGAGAAGAAGCTATGTAAGCATCCATACCTGAAGAGGATGCATGAGTAGCAGAATGAATGTTCTGAGAGAGTTCTAGCTGGCGCAACCTCTCATAATCTGCCTGAGAAATCTGAACAGTAGGTGCAATAACAGCTGGACCACCAGAAGTAGTAGCAGAAATAGATGAGTTAGTCGACTCTGTATCAGCTACCTGGGCCCACTGAGGACGACCAAACTTCTCCCAGCACTTCTCAGAAATATGATTGGTTCTCCCACAATGACCATACTATCGTGAGCCCTTATCAGATTCACCTTGCCTCCCACCAAAGGAGGCACGTCCTCCCCCTGAATCACGGCCACGACCACGACCGTGGCCTTTGCCTCGATTAGAGAACATGGCAGACTGATCCATCGTAGGTGGAGATGGTGCAGTAGTATCAGAAGTAACACCAGTAGAGACCTGCATGACTCTGGAGAATGTAGCAGTGAGTGAGGGAATTGTATCTCCACATAATATCTGTCCCCTCACCTAGGACTGTAAATTAGGGTTCAACCCAGAGAGAAATTTGGATACTGCCAGATCACGACGATACCCTAATAGCGTCGCTGCATCAGCTACTGCAGGCTGATGCATCTCTAGTTCGTCTATCAGTCCCTTCAATTCACCAAAGAATTCCGGAACTGACTTATCTCCCTGTTTGAGAGCAAACAGTCGCTCATAAATTTCAAATACACGGGAAACATTCTTCTCGTTCCCGTACATAATCTTTAGGATGTCCCACATCTCCTTCGCAGTGGTTAAAAACACAACGCTGCTACTGATCTGTGCTTCCATACTGTTGAGAAGCCAAGTCATAACACAATAATCAGATGAGAGCCATGAATTGTAGGTGGGATCTGAGGTTGGTGGTGGAGATGCAAAAAGATGTGGTAGTTTGCTCTGAGCGCCAATGAAGATGCGGAAAGCTTGTGGCCAGAGCAGATAGTTTGCACCATTCAATTTAATAGTAGTCCCCAAGACTACCTTGGGCGCAGAGGTCTCACCAGCAACAATAGAAGGAGTAGTAGAGGAGGAGATGTCCGACATCGAAGTAGTAGTCATTTTTAATTTTTGAACAACAATAGGAGACTAATAGTAGTCAAATAGGCAGATTAGTAGTAGAGATCCGTTCTTGAAACATAAGCTAAGAGCAGATCAGGAGCAGGATTAGAGGCAGAGTGGTAGATAGTCATGCACTCACGCTGCGTAGGCGAGATCACCTGAGGGAGAGAGCCCTGGCTTTTGTTTGCACAAAGGCTCAATTTCTATATTCTTGTTTCTCGAAGGAAACAAGAATAAAAGTGAAATATCTCAACAACGTGAGATAGACACTCTTCCTCTCATCAGTTTGAAGACTGAGATGTTGAGGGAATAGGCAACATGCTGTAGGGGGGCACTGTAGCAGTGGTACTGTAGCGGCAGTGGCGATACTGTAGCAGCACATCGTAGAGAATTGAGAATTTGTGGCGGTACTGTAGCGGCGGCAAGGAGAAGATGCGGCGGCGGCTAGGGTTTTTGAATGAGGATTTGTGACGGCTAGGGTTTCATGCTCTGATACCATGTAGAGAATTGAGAAAACCCTAATTGTTGTTTATTGAGAATAACAAGAGAGATATATATAGCCATACAAATAGGGTTAAGGTTAACGGGTAACAACCCATTAACCCAATACCCAATACTTAACTTAACAATGTTTATAAACAGGCTTATCTTTCGATACATCCAATTTTAAGCTGCTATTGATGGGAATAACAATCAGATACCTAACCCATGATCGATGATTCGCATCCATGAGGGACATGGATATAGCTTAGGATCAGTTCAGTCATTTACTGATTGATGTTGATGTGTATGTTGCCGTTGTGACCCATGTCTAGGGCTGCGTACTTCTCAGTTTCAATTTTCTTTTCTGGCACTTTGATGTGCACATAGTATATAGACGTGCATTACGGGGATGGGTTATTCCTAGATGTCAATATAGCTAGCAAGCATAGAAATGGTACTCTGGCCATTAAGACTGAATGTCTCAACTTATTAACTTTTTCGGCTTGCCACCTCTCCTTCCACATCATCTACAGAGAAGACAACACTTCCAATATAGTGTCTAGAAACATCTTCTCTGATGTATCCGTGGGAGATCAAAACTTAGTCTAATTGGTATCAATCGTCTATCATGAAAGCGCACTTGTTGCTTTCTTTATTTTCGGTTGACCACCAAATGTCAGCCTGAAAATTCTGATGCCATCAGTGATTGTCGATCATAGTCTTAGTGATCATGCCTGATAATCTGCGCCGTGGACTGTGCTTGCTTTGCCTTGAGCTCCAATATTTCCTTCTCTTAATGCACTCCAGCCAGAATGTAGGTTTCACATTGGTTTTGGCTATCTCAGTGTATTTTGCTATACTTGTACCTTTCATCATTGTTTTAGGTACATGCACATATTCCTAAGTAAACATGTAAAAGGTTTACGATTACTCTCTCCTCTTTGTTTGTTTGTCGCTCTTCTAGAGATCAATTCTGCAGTTAACGTTGCCATTTCTTGAAAGATATGACAGAGTAAGGTCTTAAAATAGAGTTGGAAATTGGTAAGTGGTTGAAAAATATATGCTTGTGGGTGGATTTGGATGCTTGTATTATTAACGTTGTTCAAAAGAATAGAATATTTTTATGAAAATCCTCATTTTGCTTTGTTATGTACTCTAGTGTGAATCCTGGGTGACAAAACTAGTTGTGACTAGAGCAGACTTTGCAATCTAGAATTTCTTTATAATAAAATTAGGTAATCAAAATCAAGCATATATATATATATATAATAATATATATAATATTATATATACAGCACACGCTAGATAGTTGGTAGTAGCTTTTTCCCCCTAATGCTTTGGCCGCAGTGATTACTTGACATACCCACGGAGAGAACAAAATTCTGGTGCATAGCTGTACAATTTTTTGGCCCAGGGGACAAGCCCATCTTCTTTTGTGTTTGATGAGGCACTAGCATAGGATCAAACCGCTCGACCGTGCTAAGACACCTCCTAACCGTATGGTCTCGAGTATTCAAGAAAATCAGATTCCTATGAGTGTTCTCCAGAAGAGTCGAGCCTAAGACTTTAAAGTACTACTCGTAGGCAGCTTATCCAAGTCAGTTAGACCTTCTTAGGTAATTTTTAAAGGCAACTGTTTGCTTTATTGTTAAAAAAAATCTGTTCTGGATAGTAAGTATGGTTCTTAACCTGGACTTCCAAAATTGATCTCACGATATGTTCCTCAAGGGAACCAATCTTCACATTTTCCTTTACGTTTTA